CAGCGCAGTGCGATTTCCTCGTTTGTCTTCTTGCATACTCGTATCGTACGTACGTACGCCGCCGCGCCTTGTATGTACATTTTCTCGTACGCTTTTGTACTAGTACTGGTATCCGTTGTACACCTCGTTGCTTCTCTTCTCTTTCCAATAATCCATGTACATACATATGTCTTAGACCCGTAATCTATATCTTGCCCATACATACTCTTCTTGTGTGATTATCGAGGGAAAAAATTGAAGTGCGAGGTATGTAAGCAATAAATTCGATTTTTTGTCAACAGCGGTGATGGGTGTTGCCCAGCGCCACTCAGCACTGAGCACCGAGCCGCGGGTGATCAGCGCTGAGCAGCATTGGCCCCCACGAATCACCCTTGTGTGGAGCTTACCACCCCCGGGCGGCTGATTTCCGCCGATCACCGCGGTTCAGAACTGGTCATCGTCGAGCACCCCTCTGGAATTCTTGCGACAGGCGCATGACCTAGGCCTTCAAGTTACGGCTTCCGGCTCCAGCCGGTGCTGATGCGCGCGCCAGCCTATACACAGCCTTTTCTGGTGACGCTACGGCCCGAGAGCACAACATCTGCCGACAAAAGACCCGAGGACTCCAAGCGATACGCAACGAGCAGGAGCATGATTTCTCAAGGCACTCACTGCCCAAGAACGAGCGTACATCTCACGGCGGGACACGAATGGTGACGTTCTCGACCACATACTCCGAATCCGCATACCCCAGCAGTTGTGCCATGTACGAGCTGCGAATACGTCAGCGCAGTACACCAACCGGCACGGCGGTAGAGCGTACCTCCGCAAGCCCTTCACGCGAGCGATCTGAGCCGAGTTGTAGTTCGCAAGCCCGCGCCCAACCTCTTCCGTCTCCCACTCCTCCTGTGCCTCCTCCTCGCCCGTGTGCGGCATGAGTACCGTATCATCCTCGGGTACCGGCGGCATCTGCCGCTCGTGCTCGTTCCGTTCAAGCGTGGCGAGACTTACGACAGAGCTTGAAATGCTCGCAACAGGCTTGATTGTCGGCGTGGTTGGACGCGTTCCTTCGAGTCCTGCGACGTATGCTGCGCGCGCTTCTTCGGCCGACTGTCCCGCATGGGCGCCAGGTCCGCGGCGTACCAGGATGCGGACTGCCTGGCCGGCGGCGAAGGCGCCGCGTACCGCGAGCACTCCAGCAGAAAGTAGGCGGCCGCCGGACTCGCGGCGTGAGAGGACGTGGTGCGCGCCTGCGTCGATGACAACAGATCCAGAGGGATGCAGTGTGTGCGATGTCCATGATTTGAGGTCGCGTAGGGGGGTCGGCGACGGCGTGAAGGCTGTGTGTGGCGGGCGCACGAGTTCGCTGGGCGTTACGACGGTGCTCGCATCACTTTCATCCGGACTGCTGGTTTCGGACGAAGACTGAGAGGCCGTAGCTGCATGATACGCGATGATATCTGTGATCGACTTTGGGTTGCGAGAAGAGCAGATCACGGTCGTTACGCCGGCTGCTGTGGCGATCTCGGCTGCGATGAGTTTTGTCTCCATCCCTCCCGTCCCTAGAGATGAGCCCAGGGTCGCAGTGCTCACTGAAGTGGTTTCAGCGTCGATTTTGCCCGAGACACAGCCTCTGCTCACCTTCTTTCCGAATGCCAGCCACCGATGATACGACCTCTATCATCTTCGCGTTGGGATCTTTTCGAGGGTTGGATGTGTAAAGGCCATCGACATCGGTAAGAAGAAAAAGATAGTCGGCGTGCACCATGGTAGCCGTGATAGCCGATAAAGTGTCGTTGTCTCCGAACTTGATCTCGCTGACGGAGATTGTATCGTTTTCGTTGACGATGGGCACGACGCCCAGATTAAGCAACTCCTTGAAGGTGTTCACGGCGTTTAGATATCGCGTCCTCTGCAAGAGTCAATACACAGAGGGTAGAAATGTAATACGAAGCTCACATCCGAGATGTCTCCGCGTGTCAGGAGTATCTGTGCGATGGGCTGACCGAGCTGACCGAAGAGGTTATCCCATAGTGCGATCAGTCTGCCTTGACCGATGGCGGCAAGAGCCTACGTGTAAGTATGAATGCCGCGTACGCAAACAGCAAAGCGTGTGTGTACCTGTTTGCCTTGCAGACTCTTAGGTTTGCTAGGCATCTCCATGCGCTGAAGGCCGACAGCAATGGCACCGGATGATACGAGTACAACCTTGTGCCCTTGAGCACGGAGGTCGGCTACGAGTTCAACCACCGAAGAAAGGGTAGACAGAAGCGGGTGGTGCGTTTTCTCATGTACGATAGAGGAGGACCCAAGCTTGATCACCACGGTCGATGGGCGAGTCATTGTCGAGCGAAAGACGCGTCGTATAAATCAGAGATAAATCACACGTGATCGCGTTAAATCGATGAAGTCTAGTCGTTTCGACGATGACAGGAGTGATGATACGGAGAGCACAAGGAACGCCACAGTGCAGTTCCGATTGACAGCACGACTGTCAAGACGCCGGTGAGACGGGGGTGTAACGTGAAGGTCGTGGTTGGAGGGAAGGAACGTTCGGCCGGCCTGCGCGATGCTTCGGAACGGGTCGCGCGCGGCGGCCCCTGATATTAGTCGCGTGAATTTGTCGAAAATCTTGTTTGTCCTCGACGACCACATCGGCCTGCCGTATCCCTCCTTCGGTACTGGTGTTTAATGCGATAGCTCCCGCTCATCCTTCTTTTTCCTGAATCTACTCTCTAACGATGCTGCACGGCAACTCGATCAAGCTCTTGGCCGGTAAGAATCTATGAATAATGTTGTCATAAAGCCGGAGATTGACGGCGGGGCCCCAGGAAACAGCCATCCGGAGCTGGCAGCTGCCGTGTCTGAGCGGTGAGCTCCTTACGCGTCGGCGTCGACTTGCTCGCGTCTGAGCTAGACGTGCTTCACGCCCAGGCTCGGCGCGCCCTTGACGCCTTGTACGGTCACAAAGTTCTCCAATGGCGAGACGAACGTCAAGATCTCAGAGTCGGTCCGCGATGAAGACGTTTTTATCATACAAACGTCCTCTGGCGACGTCAACGACCATCTCATGGAGCTTCTTATCCTCGTTTCCGCCTGCAAGGGCGCCTCAGCACGCCGGATTACGGCTGTAGTGCCCTGCTACCCATACGCACGCATGGACAAGAAGGACAAGAGCCGGGCGCCCATCACCGCCAAGCTCGTGGCCAACATGCTCGTTGTAGCCGGATGCGACCATGTCATCACGATGGACTTGCACGCCAACCAAATACAAGGCTTTTTCGACATTCCCGTGGACAACTTGTATTCAGAACCGCTCATGCTTCAGTACATCAGGCGCAACATCGTGGGGTGGGAGAACGGCATCATTGTCAGTCCTGATGCTGGCGGTGCAAAACGGTATACCTCTTTCCCTTTAGGAGTACTTCGAGACTGATTACGCCGGCCGCAGAGTAACCGCGATCGCGGACAAACTTGGTCTTGAGTTTGCGCTCTTCCATAGGAAACGTGATGGCAAAAAGCCGGCGGAAGAAGTGCTGGAGCTTCTCGTCGGTGATGTCAAGGGGAAGGTCCGTTTCCCTACGCGCTCTGCCGACTACTTCCATGTGAATACCGCATTGACAGGTCGCTATCATCGTGGACGACATGATCGATTCGGGCAATACTCTTACCATGGCTGCACGTTCATTGAAAGAGAATGGGGCCAGCGCCGTCCATGCCTTGATCTCGCACGGTAAGCCGTCGCGATTGTTGTCCATGGGTTGGATGCTCACGCCGATGAAGGCCTATTCTCCGAAGCACGCATGCACATTTTACAGGACCTGCCTCTAGACAGCCTTGTTGTATGTAGGATGACTTTCCTGCGATTGACTGTTAGCTTATAGTCGACAGGTCACGAACACCGTACCACAAAAACATCACCACGGCGAGTTATCGAAGCTCGTCACGCTCGACATCACCACTACCATCGCGGAAAGTATCCGACGCACGCACAACGGCGAGTCAATCAGCCTACTATTCGGGGAGTGGGCCGAAGGACTTGGCGTCAACTCGTTCTAAGTCGAAGTCGCCGATGGTAGGCGGCGCGGCCTAGTACATATATCCGATTATTATAAGCTCCTGTATTGTTAGATTCTGCCGCGGTATATAGATGGCAGATTAACCCGACACGACTTGAGTGCTCAAAGAGGTTCTCGATGGTAGTCCACATCTAGTCCTTATTCTCGACATGAAGCGTATGACTGTGTGGCCTCCGACGCAGGAGAATCTCTTGCATGCTCGCCCCAGGCCGTTATGAACTGGAAACCCCCGCCTCAAGATGCTTTGTGAATGCTACGGGATCGTGGTTGACGCAGCTGGCCTGACAGCATGCATCAGGGAAACGCCCCCCTACTTAGGGCCACTCAGGGGCACTTAGGGGTGGATTCGGCCCGGTTATCTCTCAGGCCCGCTCAGGCCCGCTCAGGCGTCGCTCAGCGCTCAGGCGCCACTCAGGCGCTGCTAAGGTCCTGCTCAGAGGGATTAGTTTGAGTGGTGTTGAAG